TGAGCCCTGCTGCTGCCCCCTCACTCTGGACCCACTAACCCCAGCCCTACCAGTGCCCCTCACTCCCAGATAGCAGTATCCTGCCCCCCACCCCTTGCTGGTGGCCCCTGACTCCCAACCCGCAGCCCCCTGGTGCTTCCAGTGCCCTGCACACCCAACCCACAGTCACCCATCTCATCCCCTGTGCCCCTTAATTCTGAGCTGCAGCCCCTACCCCCCTTCCAGTGTCCTGCACTCTGGACCTGCAGCCTCTGCCCCTCAGCCCTGCTGGTGCCCTGCACTCCTGATCTGCAGACCCCTGCCCCCACCCCCCTACCTGCTACTTACACTTTCTCTCTGGCTCGCTTGCTTGAGCCCGTGCGGGGAGAATGTGACCCCCAGCAAACAATCACCTTGCTCACTGCTCCCGGCCTGAAGCAGTCAGTCTCGGACAGCAGAAAACTTGGCCATTAGCTCTTTTTAAAAAAACTCGCATGGACGCAGTGCAGGGGTCAAAAGAGAGGACGTCAGGGAAAGCCCAGACGTATGGTAATCCTACACAGTACCACTCACCTCCACTGCTCACCCCACTGCCAAAGGTGGGTCCAGATCCAGCCTACAAAGAGCCCCAGTTTGGATCTGGCCTATGGGCAGGTGAGTTTGATGCTCCTGGTCTAAGACAATTGACAGAGGAATGGATCTGCAAGTACTCACACAACTTCACAAAAATAATTCCCTCTCTGTAAGTGTTGCAGCTTTTGGTTACTACAGGACTAGGGCAGCATCACGTGTGAAATCCCTCTCCCCTTTTTACAATATTCTCCAAAATTAAACCATGCTTCAAGACCTTTTTCTGCATCAGGTCCTTGGTTAGTATTCTGTAATCCTGATCCTCACATAGCTCAACAGGGTAATGATCTTTTTTTCCCCCCCACACTCAAGCTTACCTCTTCCATTGGAATGACTTGGGCATATCCACCCCCTGCTGCTCCACCTGAATAAGGAATCACGTGGTCACATCACATTCGAGCCAACTCAAAAAAAAGCAGGCAAGAAACAAAGCACATAGCCCTATTTATATTATGTGCACGTGAATATCTCTAGATAGACAGACAGATTGATATAGACGTATAGTTTTGATGCTTTATATTATATTGCGTGTGAATATATAGATCGATCCACATACGCATAATATAAAGCATCACTGCTCTAGGTTTATAGCTATAGATATAATTTGTTAGAGACATCCCTCTCACACTGGAACCAAAAAAGTATATTAATAAAGTCATCAGAAGACAAATAGGTGACCATGTAAGCCCCTTCTAAAGAAAAAATTGGCAACAATTAACTTTCTGTATTTCCAAGAAAGTGAACTTCAGACATTAGATAGCAATTTTCTTAAGTAAGCTATTTCAGATAAATCTGGATGGGTTTATACTCCCATTAAACATCATTAGTTTAAGAATGAAACCCAAGTGGGGTATGTCATGTACCACAAAAGTGGCACAATCCAGTGCTTATATACCTGTTTTCCCCACATCAGTGGTTCTTTAAACAACAAGAGCCATACAAAGAAGGCCTACTGGGACATGTCCTTACTAGTGACATATTGTTTCTTATTGCACTCTTTCATAGCTTTGTAGATTTTAAAGGCTAGAATTCAATTATGATCAGTTGTTCTTTGGCACTTTGTATAAATAGCATTTCTGCACCCAAGCCCTGCAAATACTCCTTAGATATGTCAAGAAAGGTGACCCCTTCCAGCTAATCTGCAATTCAGTGAAATAATTAAGGAGTAAAAACACAGTATAAAAAACCCAAAATGCAATATTTCCCTTTAATCTAAAATAGGACAAAGGTTTTGCAAAACACTAGGTACCTTTAACTCCAAAGGTAGGTCCTTGGGAAGGCTGTCTTAAGCAAGCAAAAGAATTGATATTAAGATGTGCAGTCAGAGCCTGGACAAGACCAATTGTGACAGTGCTTTTCCCCTCTCCAAGGGGGGTAGGTGTTATCCTAACAAAACAGAAAAAAAGATAAGTTTCATCAGCATCTGTGATGATGTCAGCTTCAATAAGGATGTCAGAACTTCAACTTTTTGATTTCAATAAATAATATTTGCATGATGGATTTCAGCAAGATGATTTTATTTCCACAAAAATATTGCCACAGTGTTATGGCTCTAGCTCAGGCTGGAATGTGAAAACATACATATGTCTTCTATTTAAGCAATTTACTATGATATTAGAAAAACAGAAGATTGTTTTGGCAAAAGATCTGAGCACCATTGAATTTATATCAATTTCCATTTAGACCTCAAAGTTTCTTCATTTTCATGAATAAACCATCTATCAAAATACTTTGAGCACATTAATAATATTCCTGTGCAGCAAACCATGGATTTTCTTATTTTTAAACATGAATGAAATATTCAATTTCATTGAAAAACTACCTGCTTTTATTTAGCAATATTCTCTTTTGCTCTTTAACTTCCATTGTCTTCCAGCTTCCATCAGCAATATATACAGGTAGATTAATTACTTTTTTAAAAAGAAAATTGGAACCAATGAGAATGACTGGGTTCAGTAAAATATGATTTATATCAAAATTATGTTGACATACTTTTTCAGATTTATAGGCCAGAAGGGAACCATTATAATGGTTTTTCTTGACCTTTTGCATGGCACAAGGCAAAGGATTTATACTATGAAATCTTTATCTAACCCAAAAACTTTTGGTATTTTTAGGAAAAAATCCAGTCTCGTCTTAAATGCCTGAGGTGACAGAGGATTCTTAGACTTCCAAAAAGCCATTAGTAGCTGATTTTGCTAAATGTAGCATACCTGTATTAAATAATCCTAGTCAAAGTCCAATTACAGACCAATATTATGGAATCAAAAGGAACACTACAACCCTGCCTTGTGCAGTAAAAGTCTCTTTTGGCCAGTCCCTAGAGTGCTGTCTCTCAATTTCCATACAAATCTAAAGACACTCACAGTTAATTGTTTCTGAAAAATGTGACTTTGGGGTATGCTCTTCCCTCAGTGTGAGCACATGGCTTCCATTAGTAGCAGTGGGAACCCTGAGAGCACTTTGTAACTGTGAAGAACTAAGCAAAATGAAAGATACCTTAGGGTTAAAAATGTCCTTCCTACCTTTGGGTTGATCACACTTGGCAATTTTTCATGTTACTTTAAAATATTAAGTATGAACACATGCGTCTCACTCAGGAAACTTTCAAACACACTCAAATAATTCACTTGGGGTGTTTCTCTCTCATCAGCAACAGAAACATGCATAAAAACCAAGAGTACGTTTTCATTTACATCACTCCCACACAGCCCCTAAGGAAAAGCTCTAAGAAAAGTAACATTTAACCATTTAAATCCTTGATGCCCTAGCCACTTTGCAAAGTGAAATAGGTAGCTTACTTAGGGGTATGTGACGTTATGAATTACACTTTCATTCCAAAGGAAACACAAGCATGTACGCATATGCTAGCCAAAAGGGGCAACTCCTATATTATGACCTATGCAGGAGTCATAATAAATATCTATTTCTAATTAGAAACATTTCATTTTCCTGTTCCAGAAACTTAGCAAGGTATTACTTTCCTAAATTCATAAGCAGAAAGCGGAAAATAAACTTGAAATCTTCATTTTGTAGAAACTTAGTAAAACTGACTGGCATAACAAGATACTAGAGATTTTCAGATCTTAAGAGGCATCCAAGCAAGAAAATATAATAACCAGGCAGTTCATATTGAAAAAATAATTTAAAAGATCACTAAGTTTGTCATATTTTTTTAACTTTAAAAAGCAATAAAATCCCTGATGGTGTGGATTTTTCTCCCATCACATGGATCTGGACTTCTCTGTGTAATCAAAGATACATCAATATGATTTTGTCTGATTCAGGAAAAGTCTTCAATTAATACAGTTTTCCTATACCAAAAAACTAATCATTAAGCTTAAATCCCATTAATTTTATTGGAATGTAAGCAAATCCTAAAATATTTCCCTGAATATCTCATACAGTATATTAAGCTGTAACTCTGAATGGCTCATGTTAGCTTTAGCTATTTCCTATCTGTGAAAGCATCATATCTATCAAGATTTAAAATTGTGAATATCAGACAAAATTTTGTCCTCCAGAGTAGAGCACACATCAGTTTCTAAAGTGACCGATGCCAAACTATATTTCCTTGTCCTGAAAGGAAAATTCATGCCTTCTTAAACAAAAATCCACACTACGTCAAATGCCAATAGAAAAATACTCAAGTTCAGCGTGTTGCAACGTCCGAACTTAATGTAGGTCCTAGAGAACCTTGCATAAGAAGGGACTTTGGGTATGACATGGACACAATAAAAGAAAATTTTCACTGAGGAAAATGTAATTATCAAATGTATTCACTGCTCTTTACAGTGTCCTTTCTTCCTGCATTTCCCTTTTATTCCATTCTCATACGTGACACCTTTTCAGTAGAAGGGTATCAACAGAAAGCCCATCCTACTGAAGCCAGAAAGTGTCATTCATTTTCAATGGGGCCTATTTCAGCAGGAAACCTAGTTCACCTCATATCTTTACATGGACTTGACTTAAAATATTTTTGACCATTCAGTTAGTTATATACTAAAAAGAAGTATCATATGCCTGCAGTTTATAAGGAACTGAGAATTAAAAAAAAAAAAAGCCATGCCATAGGCATTACTGATTAGTGCACCTCTTTGACATGCAAGCAAAATTTCACATCTATTTTAGTCTACCTTTTTCAGAGGCATGCAAGTGCTTGACTCCAATTATTAAACCAAATCCAAATTTTTAAATGTAAAAGTACTGTACAGGCTAGAATGGAAGAAAGTTCCAAGTTAGTACCCTAAAAGCTTCTTCAGCAACTACTACATCAGCACAACCCATTGCCATATCCCCTTTATGGTGGCAACCATAGATCCTCCTGGATCATGGTGTATGCATGAGGGACACCCAGAGCTTTGATGCATATGCTTGGGCAGGAATTTTTGGAGAAGTGGAAGGTGCCCAGACCTTCCATCCTCCCTTTAGGCCACTGAGACAGAATCCAAAGACCAGACTGAGTCCAGATGTTGGTGCCTCCATGGCTGTAGTTGTATAAGTGTTTGGAATTGAACCCAGGTCTCTTGTGTGGTAGACCATATCCCCTTGATAACCAGCTCCTTATGCACTTTCCACTGAAGTCCAAAGTAGATTCGTTTTAATGTATTTCTTTTCTGTAGGAAATCTGTTCTTCTCAAAGAAAGTTACTGGGTTAATCTTATGCAACCTACAAATCAATAAGAACCAGGTTTCTCTTTTCCACATTTTCCTTTGGTCTCCAGGTCTCTTGTCATTCTTTCCTATAAATTTGGCCCTAAATATTGCCTACTATTGAAGACAGAATCATGGGCTAGTATTTACTTGGATTACTTTTCCCCTTGCTTTTAAGTATAGGCACCACGTGGCTCTAACATAGCAAATGTAGTATCATTCTGGATTTGACAGATTTATTAAAAATGCTTGCTACTAGTCTTATAAGTCCTTTCAGCGTGCTGGGGTAGAAATCCTTGTTCAGCATAACTATCCTTAGTACAAATTAAGGTAAATTATTCATTCAGGTTTTGAGCCATATCTAAGATTATCTTTGATCTTGACATGAGCGTCACTATGCAGCAAACCTACTTCTTTCCTTTTTATTTATACAAATGGAGATCCTTTTACTATGTGGTTTAATTTCCTTAGCAAAATCTAATGCAGCATGACTTCCGGCAATTCTTACCATTTCTCTACACATCCCAACTTTTAAAATGGGGCTCTTTGCTGATCATGGTCCTTGCATTTCTTGTAGGCTTTCTGCTTACCCATACTATCGCATGAATACTCTACCTCATGCAATACCTCTGGAGCTGTTCTCGTCACACATTTTGCCCTCGTTTCAGATTCAATTTCCACATAGGTTCTGTTTTTTTGATAAAAAAAAGAAATCCAATCTTCTTTCACTTTCAGGTTCCTGAGCTCTTCAGTCCAACTGACTTAATATTAAGAACCTTCCTTAATTTCCCAAAGTAACCTGTCTAAAATAGATTATTTTAGTCACAGACCTGTTTTGTGACCTTTCTATCCAAGATTATTTTCTATGACCCACTCTTCTTTAATGCCCTCACTACTTCTCCCTTGACTATCATACCCTGAAGTACCTGGATCTTAACAATATTATCAGAATTTGTTTCTCAAGCTGTCTCCAAAGTTAAGGTCCCCCATCATATCACAATTCCTAGTAGTATCTCTCCAATAACATACCAGAGATCCCTCCCTATGCATATTCAAATTCAATCCTGAAGGAGTCTTTCAGACTCGCAGCATAATCTCAGTAAAAAAAAAAAAAAAAAATTTTAAACCATCAATCCGCGTAGTGATTGATGGCCAAACATAGCCCCCCTCTTCCCCTTTCTCCATGCTATGCTCTTTCCTTCAGTCTAATACAGGGGTAAGCAACCCCTGGCACCGATACATTGGTCCGGTATTGGATCGGCACCGATATTAAGAAAATTGATTGTATTGAAAAGTGGCCTGATGTGGCTGATAATGCTTATGCACGTGTGCAGCCACAGCAAGTGCAAAGGCAGTGAGAAGCATAGCCCGGGCAGCTTGGAGAGCTGCGTGCAGCTGCTAAGTCTGTTGTGGTGGATTGGGAAGAGGGAGTGAAGGGACGTGGGGGGGGCAGATCAATGCCCCCGCAGTGAGGGGGTGGGTATCCAGCCAGAGCGGGGTGGGGAGAAAAACGGAGCTGCAGCTCGTTTGGGGGGCGCATGGGGATGGGGCCAGCTCCCTTCATAGCACACACCCTAGGAGGGCATGTGTCCCTGGATCTGCACTGGGGAGGGCTGCAGCTGTGGTCTGGGCTCCACTGGGCTCTTCCCAGTGTGTGGGGGCTGTGCTCAGGGCAGGTGGGCAGCAGCATTAGGAGGGGGGCTATGGTGAAACCTGGGGTGGCTGCAGCCCTC